GGTTTAACCATCATCAACGCATATTCGAGTTCCATCGACCGCAATATGCAGAACAGATCAAATAAAAACACATATTATGGAGGAAGCTTAAATATTGAATATCCTAACTCTAATTTTAACAAAGCTTGTGCAGTACGATGTGCCGTAGTATAAGTAGAAAGGACTCAAGCCACATCAGCTGTTGCTAAATTTAACTGGGCAATTTAAATTTTTACAATAGAACATTACTGCGAATTCCTTTGAAAATGTTGAGGAATTTGCTTCGCACTATGCAAAAAATCTACTTAAATTTGCACACAAATCCGCTCAACCGTTTTCATGTCAACAATTAAATTGCCCAATTAAATTTGGCAGTAGCTGATGCGGCTTGGTTCCTTTCTGCTTAACGCGGACCAACTGACCCATGTCCATTTTAATTTACATAAATTTCGTGCGAATTGAGGTGAGGGTTGGTGCGGAGAAGTCAGTTAATTAAAAGGATTCATTATTTTTGTCCGATGTTAGAATTATTTCTTATGGTTTAGGGTTGTAATAGGTGTATCGACGTTTTGGACCGTGCAACAACCATCAGCGGTCGTTTGATCGGTGCGGTGTTGTGTTCGAGCACAGCGTCGTCGTAACCTAACTTGACGGCGCCGCGCACGGTGGGCAAAAATTGATTTTTACAGCCAAGAATCAGTTGGAAGTCCATTAGATTTTTGTACTGGGGGTTATACTATTTTGGGGCGCCCTTTCCTTTTTCCAGTTCGTCAGAAACCTGGTTAACTTGGATCAATTGTAGGCTATTTTGGGAGATTTTTTCAACATTTTACCCTTCCCCCTCCAAAGCCAATATTACCTCCTTCGGACACTCCTCCTCACAACTTAACCATGTAATTTGTCTCAAAAGATACCCTTGAACCCTTGAGGCGCCCTTTTCCTTTCCCAGTTTGTCGGAAACTTGGCAAATTTGGAGCAATTTTAGGGGATTTTTTCACAATTTTGCCCCTCCCCCTCCGAAGCCAATATTACCTCCTCTGGACACTCCTCCTCACAACTTGACCGTGAGATTTGTCTCCGAGGACGCCCCTGAACCCCGGGGCGCCCTTTTCCTTTCTCGGTTCGTCGGAAACCTGGTAAACTTGGATCAATTTTAGGACTTTTTAGTGGACTCTTTGTCAACATTTTTCCTCCCTCCTCCCTCCCGGACACTCCCCCTCACAAGTATTTTTGTATGTTGTGTTCGTGTCTCCTTGGACGCCCCTGAACCCCGGGGCGCCCTTTTCCTTTTCCAGCGCGTCGGACTCGGGGCGGGCGTGCGACGGCGGTCCGCGCCCGGGAGCCGGCGTCCCTCGGCGAGCGGCGGCTACGGCTGCGGCTGCGGCGGCGCGGCAAAAATAACCCCGCGGTGAATCTCGCCTATTTTGGGCCGAGCGGCGTTCGTGTCCCCGGTGCCCCGTGGCCATTCGGCTCCGCTGCCTCACCCGAGATCCGCGTCCAACGTCCACCGTACCCATCTCGCCGACGTCCACAGGCGCCCCTCCCGCCACCGCCGCCGCCCGATAGCCGCCCCACACGCTTCCAGGTATTTGCGCCTTTCACTACCCCCTCCTCTTCAGTCCCTACTCGGATTCAAAACCAGTGTCGCCCTTCCCATTCGAAATTGTCAGTGTTTTTGGTGCCCTTTCATCGCCCAATACCCTGTGGGCCTTCAGGTATTAGTGGAATTCTTTTCTCTCCTCACCCCCCTTCCCTGTTATTCTCCAGTCCATACTTGACATTAAAATCAGTGTCGCCCCTTCTATTCGCAATTAGTAGTGTTTTTGGTGCCCCTTCATCGCTCAACACCCTGTGTACCGCTAGGTATTTGGGGATTTTTTTTCTCTCCCCCTCCCCCTCCCTCCTGCTCTTTTTGGTATTCTCCGGTCCATACTTGAAATTAAAATCAGTGTCGCCCTCTTCATTCACACAATAGTAAAATTACTGAATGCCCTGGGTGCCTCCAGGTTTTTGCGGATTTCACTCCCCCCCCCCTCCACCGGTATCCTCCAGTCCATACTTGGAATCAAAATCAGTGTCGCCCTTTGGTTTGCCAGATTGCACCGCGATAAGATTGATAGTGTTTCTTGAAGACCACTACAATTTAAGAATTTGTGCCACTCATCAGCGCACCCTTCGTACAATTTTGAATCAAAATCAGTGTTTCCCCTTTGATTTGTATCACGATGAAACTCTCAGTGTTTTTCGGTACCCTTCCCATCAGCACTCACTGCTGTCTGTGCCTTTAGATCTTCGCACTTTCCACGGAATCGAAATCTAGTGTTATTCGTCTTGAAAATTGAATCGCGAAAATTGATAGTGTTCCTGAGTCCACTGCCTTTCAGGTATTTTTGAGTTTAGCCTTCACCGCTCAGTGTTCCTGAGTCCACTGCCTTTCAGGTATTTTTGAGTTTAGCCTTCACCGCTCATTCGATTCAGCATCAAAATCAGTGTTGCTTTCCTAGTTGCATCGCAATAGTATTAGTCCTGTTAATTCATTTGCGCCCCTCCTGCTGGCCATTATCGTGTGCGACCAGGTATTTGCACTTTTCAGGGAATGAAAGTCCTTTATATTCGTATTGCAGTCAAATTGATAGTGTTTCTCGGGTGGATTCTGCCTCTCAGGTTTGCGCTTTTCATAAGCTCTCGGTCTTTATTCGTGCATAGAATTAAAATCAGTGTAACTCTTTACGTTTGACTCAAAATAAAATAAACGGTGTTCATGGGTGCCCCTTCCATTCGCACACTTATCATTGGCGGATCTAGCAACTTGGCAGCACCGGATTTTCTCCATTAAAACCTATGGAAATGTATCGATTCTTAGAGGGGCCAAGTGCTCCGACAAGAATCGATTATTTAGCGTAGGTTTAAATGGAGGAAATCCGGTGTTGCCAAATTGCTGGAACCGCCTCTGCCACTTATCCTTGTGTTTCCGGGCGTTTGCGTTTTTTACTAGCCTCTCCGTGTAATTCACTCACCTAGAATCAAAATCAGTGTCCCCTTTAAAATATTCAATAAAGTTGATAGTGTCCTTTTGCGCCCCTCCCGGCGTAGAATGTCCTGAATTTTTCCAGTTATTTGTGCTTTCTACATCCCTCTTTTTCACTTTTTGTATTTCTCCTTCCATTTGCACTACAGTTAAATAGTGTGTTTATTGGCGTCTCTCCCAACGTCCACCATTCCGTTTACTTCTAGTCGTTTGCTTCATGATTCTAGTCCCGCTCTATATAGTAGTCTCCATTACTCTAGTCTCTTTTATCTACACTGGAGATCAAAACCGGTGTTACCTACACGAGTTTTACCACCATAAAAGTGACAGTGTGTTCCACTATGCGCCCATCTTTATACTTATTGTTCTACTTGCATCAGTTAATTTTGCTTTGCACGGCTTTTTTGTTACTTCGAACAAAATTGTGTGTTGCTAATTTTGGTTAGTAAATTGACCGTATTTTTTGGACGGTTTCCGTTCCGATGGTTCCAGTTATTTGCGTTGAAACTTGGTGCTAAATCAGTGTTGACTCCTAAAGTTGCATACCTACCTCAAGATTGACAGTAACCTTTCACATGTGTGTCACATTTTTTTCTGTCCACCACCTCAATTCATACTTGGCACCAAAATCAGTGCTACACTTAAAAGTAGCACCCCAATCAAATTAGTCGGTGTTTGATTCGACACTTCAATGTGTCACGCAGTGGACACTTTAATTAACTTGGCAGTCACTCGACAGTACTACGTCCCGTAATTCTACTGCTTCTTCCTCCCTTTTTTGTTTACTACACCTCTAGTAAATGCGGTGCATGAATGTTGTCGAGGATATTCGATGATCATCGAAAAATTTCCTCATTTTTTAAAATAAAAAATATGAAACTTTTAGAAAAATTCATCGGAAGTCGATAAATTCGTCGCTCCTCTGACGCAAGGGCGTACCTTGATTTTCACGTAAGCCCTGAGCTCCGTATGACTTTATACTTTTTGGGTTTCATGTGAAAATTTAGATACGCCTTTAAGTATGTCAAAAGAGCAACGAATTTACATGCGATCGCAACCTGCAGTTTTTTACCCTTAGTCTCTTGTTTGAGAGGATCGAATCGAAAAAATGATACTCGGGAAGAAAATTCGGTAATTTTTCAAATTCTCCTTTCCTAGCAATCCTGTAATGATTGTTGTCTCAATGTTTTCTCGGATTATTCATTTTGCTCGCCTATTTTTTCCGTATGAAACTGTTTCTAACAAGTTTCTCAGACAAATTGGTAAATCGTATCAGAGTATTTTCCACGTAGCGATAGAATCATCGAACTCTTACTGAACACCGTAGCACATCGGCAAAAATAAAAAAAACCGCGTATTTTAGTCTGCGACGATGCAAGTCTCCTACCTAGGGCAGGTCCAATCAACGTTTTTGCATTAAATTTCGTTTGATTTTTATTTCGTTATTTCATAAATATTCCCTCATGATTTAATTGAGTATAAAAATGTTGGGCAGCAGTGCAAAAAAAAAGAAAAAAGAAAATAAGAGCGTAAATCGTCCAACAGCGCATTCGAGTTCCATGATTTGGTGGTTTCATAATGACATGACACTTATGCTCACACATTAAAATAGATTAGAACGCATTAAAGTGCGCAAGTAAATCGCCATTAATCTATCTTGCGAAGAGACCAGACTCGCTCCTAGCGAAAACGCCTTCAAATGGAACGATACCTCCGAGCATTGCATGCACGTTCAAATAGTTGTATCTCAAGGAGCGTTCCGCGTTACGGTAGTTGTGATGAAGGATACGACGCTTTTAATTCAGGATACGATAGTGGGCTCTTTTGAAAAGCTTTTTCAATCAGCATTAACTTTACAAACAATTGCTTTCGCGATCAACAACCCGTCAAATTAAATTTTGAGACAGGAATTTCTCACTAACTTTATATGTGCTCTCGTCTCGCACTTTTCGCTTTTGTCCAGTTACTGATTGCGATTATTTTTTGTTTCCAGGCATCTGAAGCCAAAACACAGAACTTAGATGAATTAGATCTTGAAACAATTTGGGACGAGCAACACCTTAAAAATTTGGTGAGTGTGTTTTAGAATTTCACTCGAAGCCTCTTTGGTTTCGTTCATTACATAGTGGAATTATAATTTCTTGATTTTAAACTGACGTCAACCTCACTCATGCTAGCTTCCTTGGTCGGATTACAACCTCTCGCCTCTTTTTCGTCCACTTTTAGGTTAATTAGTTTTTGTTCATGCACTCACATGAATATACATGCCCTTAATCCTCCTACCTAGGCAGGCAATTTTACGTACGTACTCAGTAATTCATTTTTTGCGCAAAGAAATGCAGCCAAAATTTAAAAGGCTACTGGAAATTTGCACTCATAATCCTTTAATTTAGTTTCTTTTTCTTTGAAGCACAGGACTAGCCGTGGAGGGCGATTCAAAATTGTGAGGAAGGGGAGGGGGGGGATGAATTGCTTGTTCCTATACGTAGAATCAAAGTTTTAGTAAAATAAACAAATCTTTGATGTCCGAACTTTTCTACCTATAAAGATTTTAGGATTGGTCCATTATACAAGCATACTTTTAAGCTAAAATTTAAGTTTCATGTCACTTATAGTTTTGTCACAATTTTTTTTCAACAGTTAGAGGCTTGCACTGACTACGAAGGAAGACGAAAAATTAGAGCTAGGCTTCGCACAGTAATGGCTGAACATAAAGGTAAGCTGTACAGTTGTAATTTTAGTCTACAAATCAAAGACCAAAACGGAAATATGCGTACTCACATTGTAATGTTTCAAAATCTCTAATTATGTTTTATTTTTCAAGGGAAAATCAACTGAGCCATCTCCCTGATATGTTTTGGGAATGTTGCACCATTTTACCCATTTCTTTTTCAGAAAGTACCAAACGTATGAGGAAGCCAGCATTTTTCGTTTTCAATTTTATTATTTTCCATTTCATTATGCTTCCAATTTGCGAATACAAATTCCTCATATTGAGGCTGAACATCCATGTCAACAAGCTCCCCAAAATTTACGTGTTAAAAATCAATTCAAAAATTATTTAGAGAATAAGAAGTCTCTCCAACTATTAAAGTTTTTAGCTTCTTTAGAGAAGCACTCACTTCCCTATGTAATAGTAACGTTCTAAAGTTTAAGGTAAGGTTGTTGAAGAGTTTAAAGGCAGTTTGGGACTCAGATTATTCAGCAACCTTTAGGTGAGTGTTTTCCAAATTGAAATGAATTTCCAACATTTCTGATCATGTCATTAAAGATTGAGCGATCGTCAGTGGCAACTTTGAGAAAGTCTTAAATGAAGTCTTAAAAGAACTACCTAAGTACCTATGTAGGGCACCAACATTGAAACTATAAATACTTAACTGCTTATTGATTATGGTGTTTCTTTGCTAATTGTGTTTTTTTGCTTTCTTCTTATTTTTCAAAAGGAAACCAACCGATTTTTTTTTATGAAATTTCGAAAGATTTTTTGTGGTAGCCCCAGAAGAGTAGATCGTGCTTTATCTAAATTATAAATAGTTTGTTGTTCTAAGTTGAATATAAAAGGCAGTGAGTAAGAGGTTTACAAAATCATTGACGGAGATATCTGTGTCTCTACATACGTCTACCATCAATATATTTTCTAAATATGAAAATTTAATACGAATAAAATAGATGCCATAAATTAGGGGCATGGAGGACAAGGTGCATAAGTGCAGTTTTTGCTACTTCAAGAAATATATGTTTAAAGTTTCAAAAGTATATGGAGTCTCATGGAGGAAAGAAAATTCAAACTTACTTTTTGATGCTTAAAAATTGGATGTTAGTAGTAATCTTCACAGAATTTATTTTAAGACAAGTTCTAGTCAAAGTCGCTAATAGGTATCTCAAATTTTTTTCAAAACTGAACTTATGTGCCTTGTCCTTCAAGCCCCTCAAATGAAAAAATTTGATGGGAAAATGGCGCACTGATTATTATTCATGTAATAATTTCTAAATGATTCAGATGAATAGATTTTTATTATCCTTCAATAACAGTTAATAAATTTTTCATTTCGAACCTTGAGTCATCTGCATATTATTATGGTAATACCTACTATTTCCTCATAATGATTCTTTTTACTTTTGCAGCGTGTGGTGATGTGACAGCACTGGTGAGCAACTCAGTTGGAGCAGATGCGTCAATGACACAGGGTGAGTGTGCGTTTATGCGCTCACATTCACGAGAGAGCAGTACCATTGATGATTCAGGCACTGAGTCGGGCGAGGATCTTAGACATTTGAGTCCTCAGCTTTTAGCTGAAGTCCAAGGTGCTTTATCGCGCCTAGAAGGTGCTCTACCAGGACTCGATCCCAATCGGAGGGAATCTCTTGTCCAGTTAGTCTCTCGACTCCAAACATGTTTAAAAATTCAACAACCCAACCCGGCCCCTCCTCACCCTCCCCCGCGAAGATTTTCGAACAAACGAACTTCAAGGCACAGTCGACACACCGTTGGTGTCAGCCGCGAAGAGCTAGATGACGCAAGAAAGTGGCTAGAAGAAAACTATCCCGACCTAAAATCCAAACAAGTAACTAAAGATGATATAGATGTTAGAGATAGGCAAAAATCGACGGGGAGTCTTCCCTTCAATAGCGAAGCTAGTCAGTCAAAACACTATCGTCCAGTTAAATTTAATGCTCATCACACCAAGAAGAAATCAGACCCAGATATTCTCAATCGATCCAAGAAAAAAATCGTGAAAGCAGAATTCCATCAACCTAAGTTACATCAAGTCAGTTACACTGATAAAGAAGCTCCACAGTCTGCTTCTATCTCATTTGTCGATGATGACACCAAAACTGAAAGCACTGAAAGTTTACTGGATTACGATCCAAACTTGAGATTATTTAACTCTAGTCATAGTAAATTAGTAAATAGGACTTTAAGCAAACCAGAAAATGGCAGTGATGGAGACATATCTAGCGCTGAAGAAGATCTTGTCAAGCCTCTGAACAGTGCACAGAATGATTTTCTCTCCTCACATCAGAAATTTGCCAATTTTCTTGCTTCAGAAAATAAGAAACAAAATAGATTTCAAGGCAGATCAAGTAAAAAAATGAAATTAAGAAGGTCGAATACGATTGATATTCCGAAACCTATCCACTATTTATCATCTGGAGATGATCATGAGGCTGGTTCTGCCGACGAGGTTTCTCGTATGCGTAATGGAGCAAGAGGAAAATCAAACAATACATCGAACCGATCTAGTATTGCTTTTGAGCCCAAAACAGAAAACGATAGAAAGTTCCTTGCATTTTTAAAGCTAGCAGATCAGTCTGAAGCAGAAAGTAAACTAGTCGTCTACAACTCGTCAGCTCGAGGAGGTCCGCATTGGAGCAGTCGTTTTTCTAATATGAAAACAAAATTTGAAACGCTAGAAAGAGACTCAAAGATTCAAAGTAGTGGAACTGCAGTTCCGATGCCTAATCAAAATAAGAGAAGTGTTCTAGATAAAGTAAAGCAGTTGAATGCTGTGGATTCTTTGCCCGTGAAGCCAATACAACCTACGCAACAAATCTCAACAAATCAATTTTCTCACGCACCAAGATCTCCTTTCAGACCCATCTGCAAGAGCCCCCAAAATCCTTGGGTAAAACCCTCTGCTAGTGGCACCGTAAAGCAGTTAGTCAAAGAAAAATTCTGCCACGAAGCAACAGGACCTCCCATGTACCTGCCGCCACCTAAAACCACGCCAACACATGATATCGTCATGCCTCAACCAATCAGAAAAAATATTATGCCTACTACCTCAAATGTCCAAAAGCCTTTCAGCTATTCCTCAAATTCCGTTTGTCAACAAAATGCTTTTCCAAATTATCCTCAAGGAACTCCAATGGAGAATAATTTCAATACTGCCACGAGAAATCAGAGCATTCAAAACATGTATCCACCAGATACCAAATTTTGCACCAACACCTTATTTAATCCGTCGGCTATTCCTCTTACCCCAGAGATCAATCCCCCACCACCCTTTAGGAACAATTCCAACGAACAATTTTACAACAGTAAGGTTTTAACGCAATATAGACTTCCATCTGAGGCAAACCCACATCTATTTAAAACACCTGTTCAAGCTCCTTATATAAAACCGCAAAGTCCCACACCGTTTAATTCACATGTACCTCAGTACATCCCTCAAAAAGATGCAGCTCTTAATAATCCATCTGAAATTCCACCTCATCCATCCCCATATCTGCCACCAAGTGTGAATCCATATCCTACCTCTGTCTCCCCTGTGAATTATCGACCAAATAACACCATCAAGCATAATTTTCCAACTCCAGATTATTCTCCTGTCAATTACAGCCCCTTCTCCAATTCGCCCTATAATTCATCCTCAGCAAATGGCTCGGGTTCTTTAAACGAGAAATTTTTCCCACCTACCGACTCTCGCAGTGTCACATTAGCATCCCCTTACCTTAATCAAAATGGGCAATACTCTGTCAGTGATCCTAATTTTCATAATTCCCAAAATAGCAGTTTCATGATGAATCACTCGGTGCCATTTGCCTCGGTGAATCCCTCTCCAGCTTCAATAAGCGGTTTCAGTACTCCTTTAAATTCTATTTCAAATTCAGTCACTCCTAATTTTAATAATACTCCTATAGAACATACCCCACTGGCAGCAAGTAACGCACCCAATATTCCCTTTCTTAACAACCGTAATTCAGTTAACATTCCTTTCACTGATGGTTTGTCAGTTAGTGAAAAGGCCCCTCTCAATCATGTGTCTGAGAGAAAAAATATGTTTACTCGAAATTTTGATAATTTCTTGAGCGATAATGAAGAGGTGAAAGCTAAATTATCACAAAGTTCGAACCCCCATAGAAACTCCGTTCATAATTTTTCTAATTTCTATGAACAAAAACCTTATGAGCCTGTTCCGATACAAAAAACTTATTCGCTCAGCAATATTCACACAAAGCAAGATTTAAATCCCAGCTTTGAGCGGAACTTCGATCCCTTTTACTCAGAGTTACAACCTGCATCTATGTCTTCATATCCACCCTCGAGCATCGCATCTAATGTTTCCTCCCCACGTTTCGATATCATGCCAAGTTCACGTAACTATCCTGCAGAAACTAAAAGTTACTTCACCCCAGAACCACTGAGTGACAATAGAAATTCAGTTTATGCCTCTGGCGCTCACTCTTACTCCACCTCTAATAAAGCAAATGGCGAGTCCTTACCTTACTCATCTCCACACTTGGAACCAACAACTCCAATAAGGTGTCTCGATCAGCCTGATTACGAATCGACCAATACAAATCCAAAACTTGCCAATATCTCACCTTTCCAATTTGATGATGCATCGTCAAGTCCCTCCAGCTGGAAGGAGGCAGAACCAGAGACCTCACCCTCTGTCATGCAACCGCAAACAGCAGTCAGTAAAGTAATGGGTAAGGCGCAGTGCCAACAAGCGGTTGTTGTTAGTGATCGCACAAGGCACAGATTTGATGAGATGGCGCAGAAACTCAGCGAGGAGCTGTCACAAAAAATGCGGTCTCCTTCCGATAGGTCTAAATCACCATCTGGAGCATCCGTAAGCTCTGGTCACCAATCGCGTTCATCTTCTCTTCATAGTAACTTTATGTCACCAGTAAAATCTCCTTCAAGTTCTAAATCACTTCCATATGGGCAAAATATCAGCTCATCGCTGAACCGATCCTCATCATCTTACTCGATGACCTCAGCAACAACTTCTCCTTCATCTCACAGTTCCTCATCTCCATTCCATTCTTTACATCAAGCCAAATCATCCAGTAACCTTAAATCTGAATCTGATTCACAAAGACCGAGTCCTCCTCAATCACCGACCATTATAAAAGCGACGCCCGCTAACAAGCCTCCAGGGCCTCCTTTATCTCCCAGCTTCCAGCAGATTCCACCCATCTCCAATTCTCCTTTCTTAGCCCAGTTTGGAATGGGCGCCGTTAAATCTAAATCCCAGCATTTACTCAGTCCTGCCTCTAGTCCTTTCTGTCAGTCGCAAAATTTCTCCTCCACTAGATCCTCACCTGCTAACCCAGCTTTTACCTCATACTCTCCCGATCTGATGACCCCGATGGCGAAATTTCCGTCCAGTCATTTTTCGTCTCCATCTCGATCTCCGGCCAGGTCTCCTACTTCCTCTGTGCTCCAGAAATCAGAATCATGGCATCAAATGGTTGTTGAACAAATGTTAAGTGCAAAACAGGCTCCGCCTTTGCCGAAAATCTCCAGGGCAAAATCAAGTCACGCACTAGCGTATCCCAAACAGTATGAAGCGTCAATGAGTCCCGATGCGGCCTCCAAGAAGCAAGCTACTGTAAAAGAATACCTGCGAAAATCATCTAAAAGCTCAAGTGCATGTGCTGTCAAAGCAAATTTCAAAAAAGCAACTAGCGAAAAAAATTCCTCTGCTACTACTTTAAAGAAAGAAGCAGCTGTAGTCAAATTGAACGATGATTTGGGCAACGTGGATGAGGCTTTTGAAAGTTTGTTTCAAGAAAGCAAGAAGAAGCAAAGTAAATGAAAAATAGACTGATTTTTGGCTGTGTGTATATATTATTGATCATAATTACATTCTTTGAATATGACTGGTATAAATTATGGAGCAAAGTACCAATTAAAGAATTTGAAATTTTCTTCAACTCAATGATTTCTCTGCTCCCAAATTAAACATTGTGCTACGACTTGAAAAAATGAATGAATGTCATTTCAACTACTATTGATTATTGAAAATCAAACTGTTCAAAATCCAGACTGTACGAAGCTCTCACATCTTTTTGGCAGTCTTTCAATCTGAGACTTCAACATCCGTCCCATATTTTCCAATCAAAATTGTGATTGAATTATGAAAATAATGGGTGAAATTAGTGATGAATCAATTATCTGTTTGAATCCTCAAATCTTCATTTGAAAGTGCAAATCAAATGTATTTTTGGATTGGATTTACTGTTTTCTCCTTGTTCAGAATCATCAGGCAAAGAGTATTTTTGTTTAAAGCACCAACATTCCACTCGATGGTTCGAATCTGGACATGACTCTCCGACGTAGCGATTTTTGTGAGTTGATGAACAGTCTATCTGATTGCAGATGCGTGCTTTTCCGTTGGTTTCGTAATAACTTACTATAGTGTTTATTTGCGTTGTATGACTTAATTTCACTCTCTTGTTTTTCGCTACGAATTTCACTCGCTCGGCTCGCTCTGACTTTGAAATGTTTTTTAGCGCAAATTATTTTCTTTTCCTAGTGTTTAACATTTTTTTTTTAATTTTGCATAGTTTTTCCAATTTTAAGTATCCTCAACTAATTTTGATCCTCATAATATTGAAATAGAACATCATTCAATAGAGATTAGATAATTTGGCACTGGTGAAGCCAGTACTCTAAGAGGAAGAGATTGTGTTTTTCTTTTATCCATTAGTTAATACTGCTAGCATCAAGAGCTAAACTATATCCTTCAACTGAACCTCCCTCTGATTTGTGTGCTGCTGGAAATGTACAGGCTTAAAAGCTTTCATTAGATTATTACATAATTTTATTAGCTGTTATATAATTTCAGGAAATAGTTGCAACTTTCCCTGAAACCATACCAAATTTCAAACATATCATCAATTCTTTTCTTTCTCATTTTAGACGTTGCAACACTAAAAAAAGTAATAAAGATAAAGATGGACAGAAAAATAATGATTTTAGTTCTAGACATACTCTTATGCATGAATTCATTTCATCTACCTCATCTCTGAATCCTCCTCATGGCCCAATTAGACCTCTTTTTAAAGAATCCCATAATCTTCCACTGAGACTTATACCTTCAAAGTAGATCTTCAGCGCATTGAACAACGATTCAATAGTTAATATCCAGAAGTTGTCAGTTGATTGATTGACTATCGAATAGCTATCCATAGTGGTGAAGATCCAGCTTTAATTATTTACATATACCATATCCTTAGCCTTTCAACCATCATTTACTTATCGATCCCCATCTCTCACATGTCATTTTATATCCCATAATCAAAATTATCTCATTAAAATTTTTTTGACCTCTGTCATCCTCCATAGTAGAAATCATTAGATTCTCCGTAAATTAAAAACAAACTGTTGTCAATAACTAACAATCAATTTAACAACCAGAAGAGTTGAAATGTTCAAAACAATTAATTATTTTAATTTCTGTATCAATCATAATGAGTTTTGAGAGTTCATTAATCGTAACATCAAGATACTGATTTTAGTCCTAAAATTTTCAATTACTCACATATTTCACTAAAAGGAGACTAATTGCATGTTTTCCATAAATTTTTCTGTCTACTACTTTGCTAAGTATTTGATCATAGCTTTTTCTTCTCAATACGTTTTCCCCGTATGGAGCTCTGAGAAGGAGTCTTATCTTCAAAATTATCTCGAGCTTTCCCCTTTTGATCATGAAAAACCATGAAACTCAAAGCCAGTTCCTTCTGAGAAATATGTTTAGGTTTTTAAGTTTTCATCACTCCAATATTGTAAAGATCAAAAAGCTTTTATGGCTTTCAAAATTTCCATTAGTTCTCATCATTCCTTTTTTTTCATTTTTACTTTCTCTTCAATCTCTCCATTCCCATCCTCTTTTTCTTCTTATCAATCAATTGTTTTTCTCATATGCTAGATTCAGTTTGATCAGGATCTTCTCATACAAGTTGATTTGAAGGATAAGTCGCTTTTCGTACTGAACGGCAAATCCCCGTATCACAATATTAGGAGGCAATCATTGAACCTTATAAAATTTTCATTGTTATACTGATATTTTTACTTTTGTTTGTTTTAGATTGCTCGGAATCATCAAGTGTAAGCACGAAAACTGAAGGAAATACAACAACTCGTACTGAAGGTAGGTCATATATTAACATTTTGATTATTTTTCACTTAGTGATATAAAATTCACTGTAAAATATTTTTTAAACTCTATGCTGATGTTAATTTAAAATCAGAACTGCTGAAACTTGTCAAGCTAAACTTTTTACATTGCACCGATTGAGGCGCAATCAATGCTGTATTCTTGTACTCTGCATTAGGTACATACCAGTATAGAGAAGTTTGAAATGTGTTAAACTATTCTAGCATTTTCTCTTATATTTCAGCCTTCATAAAAAAAATATGAAGACATTTATTGAATCTAATTTTCAACTTTTTTCTCAAGAAATGCGGGCAAAATTCTAATGCTTGGGAATGTTTTAACACTGGGAACTGGAATTGAAGTGTTTCTGTTTTGACAATATTTTCAGTTCTTTTTCCACATATTAAGGCTAATAAACTTGGTAACATCAAACAGGGTTGAGTCTAATAAAATACTAGAAAGTCAGTTGAACACACGTACCACTTGTGAATTTTTTTGTCTTCCTGACCCATTTTGGGCCAAGCTGACAATCATCTTGCAATCGTTTGATTCAAGAGTCACATAGTTGCCATAGAACTCTCAAAGATGAGTGTTAGCGTAGCCGGAAGCATGTTGGGAAAACAAATAATATTAACAAGCGGTGTGTTTATTTACCCAATTTTCTGGTATTACATCATTACTTACATTGCAATGAAATATTTCATTATTGGAAATTTGTCTTGCTTGATTGAGATGCGATAATATTCATAAAAATGTTGCGTACCTCTGTTTCAACAAAAAAATCAATTACTGTTTCAGTTCACACGCACACTTCTACATCAAGAGCCACACTAACAAAATGTGAGTATTTATTGAACTTAGTTACATTTTTTTTTAAATTACTATGATTCAGAGTTTAGTTTTCCATATCTGAGATACTATATTAGAGTTTTCAGAACCTCATTTAAATAAAATCTGCATTCTAATGCAGAGTAATGAATACACTAGAATGGGAGAGAGGATGGTAATGAATAACCATGAAACTAAGTTCAAAGTTACGTTTTTGAATTATAAACCAGGGACAGGAATGACGAACGAAAAAAAAGGGAAGACTGTCTTTTTGCTTAAATATTCATCTCTTTTCCAAAACTGAAGGAACTTTTTACGTCAGGTAATATCGTTGATCCTTCAGAAAATGGTGACACATGATTATATGAGCCCTAGATTGCATAAAATTATTTATGAAACAGTGCTCATATCTGAATTTTAGTTCTAAATTAATTCATTTTTCCACACTGATACTTATGACATACTTACTTTTTTATTTAACTTTCCACTCTCAATGCTGCCTCCTTATTTTAAAGCATAAATGGCCGTGTTTAACATAAAGGCACCATATCATATCTTTGGAAAAAACGAGCTGGGAACTGTTTTGAATTCAACTAGTCGTGAAGTCTCCCCTGTCAAAAATTTAAGTCAAGAACGAACATTTTAAACATGAAAATATTCATTAAACTTTGTTGCTAACATTAAGTCTCACAGAGGAATTAATTTCTAACGCCTTTTTCTCAGTTCCAACTTTGTGCAACTCGGTGAGTTTCTGTCCAAAGAAATTCAAATTTTGATATTATTAACACATGAGGTTTCTGTTAAAACAATTTCCTCTCATTCTTTTAGTTTTTTTTTTTTTTTTGAAAACCTTTTTTCTAAATGTCTGTCTCCTTTTTCCAGCGGGCAGCCTTGCCTCTTCACCGTTTGCTAAATTTAGACAACTGGAACGACAACACTCTGCCCCTAGGTAAGTCCTCTCCCAATCAGTATCACTCTTTTCATCATTATCCTTCACTGAACTTTTTGTCAAATTTTGTTGCTCAAAGACGGTCTTTTCATTACTATCATATCATTTAAATTTCCTTCTCTACAGACTGCAGGTCCCTTCTCTTATTATTTTAAACTGTAGTATGTGTAGATTAAGCGAAAATTTTAATTCAGGAAAGGAAAAATTGAACATTTAAAATTACATCTTGGATATGTTTCTGCAACCAAGTGTCACCAGCTTAGTTTTTTGAGTACCTAGTCTCATGGTAGACAGATTCTTATCCTTTTTCTGACTCGGTGAATCTCTTGTCTCACCAGTTTGGTACCACTTTAAATCAGGTAGGTACATGCTACCTTGTTAAATGTGCTTTGATGTTTAAACTCTGGAAATGCATATTTGCCTCTTGTAGATTTCTCAAACAGAGAAAATTCTATAAGAATTCGAGCCAGTAGTGGTGGTTTGTGTGCCCATGAAAAGTAGAAGTGGAAATTTCGAATATATGTTATGAAATGAGTAGTGCTTCTCCAGAGTTTAGCCATCAATAATGTTCAATCGAGTTCAAGTGAGTACCAATTAATTAGATAAAAAATCCTTTTTTTTTTGTTTCAAAATGAATCTAATTTTTTCGGTGCATTTTGGAGTGAAAGTTGGTTTTTGTCTCAGTTATTGATAATTACTAACTGAAAACAATTCTCATGAAACATTTTATCTAACAGCCTCAATTTCCATAATCGAAACGGGATCATTCAATCTAGTGCCTAACTTTACTATTTTACTTAACATTTTGTAAATAAAGCATTATCATTCATGGATATGATAGTCCGTAAGATTATTTGTCTTAGATTTCAGCCTTCTGTACTCTGTCCTAACATTATCTCAGGATTTCAATTTTTAAAATCATATCTTTAAACCTTTAGGTATTTTAACCAATGGTTGATTGACTTGAACACCAAATGGCTACTGCTAGCCTGTGTAGGTATTGCATACAGTAAGAAAGAAAAGAAAATCAGGAAATTAAAAAAACTGAAACTCCTATAGTAAATTGAAGTAAACGCCAACATGTCCTGGAGCCCTGCAGTCCCTTCTATAAGGCTGAAATTTTGACTGCTCAGTCGTTAAAATGTGTAGTTCATCTTCAACATTCAAATGTCAAGTATTTAGTAGGATTACAGCTGTGAAGGAAGGATCGCAAGGCCTCAAGGTACATGGGCGTTTACTTTAATTTATTTTGTGGATTTGAATTTTTTAATTTTCTGCTTCTTTTTTCTTCTTGTTCATCCAGCTCACAGTTCGTCACCCTGTTGATTTGTCGGTTTCAGTTTCGTTATTGTTCCTTTCGGTTTCATATTGCAAGCGGTGTTGAGTTACATTACCTCCTCCTCATGCTGAAGTTTAGTGGTCAGAGGAATTTTTCATTCCAGATTTTTGACGTGCGTAAAAACATAGTTAGCAATTATGCTTAAAAAATCATACCTCTCATAAACTCATCAGTAGTGGAGTTCAGAGTCAATTAATTTTTCATTCATGCGGAAGTTGACAAAATGATGGCCATTTCTGTTGGCTGAAGACTATGATGGAACCGAAAGAAGTTCAGAAGAGGGTTATCACAAATGACTCTTAGTTCTCGTCGAAATTTTAACAACACCCATGAGAGAATTTGACTGCATCGATTTTCCCCGCGAGGAAAATAGAACTTTTGCCGGTTTCCTGCAACCAATTATTATTCAAACTACATCAGAAAATTAACTTTTTTGCGGACAGTGGCTGGATGATCTTTGAATGATATGTCTATCTCTTAAATTAATCTTTTTTCATTTCCATTTAACCAACAATATTATTGGGGCTTGTTGCTTGTAGTTCGGGTACTGCTCGTGCCCCCATTTATAAAATCACCGACCCTAAGCTTATGAATAGCGCTGCAACCATCAAAGAGAGACTGCTCAGTTGGGTCAAGGCGCAAACTAAGGAGTACAAGGTACACATACGTCTTGCATCCTGTAGTGTGTCTGATGCTCTTTTTTCTCTTCTGCACTCTTTTCATTAACGTCCGCTGATTCGCTGCACGAATAACGCTTTTGTAATTTTTTACGGCCTTATCGCATGAAGGAATAATATATGCTTTTTTGTGTCAGCTGTTTTGTTGCAGCACTGCTAGGTAAGATTCCTAGATTGGAGCGGATGTACCACCTCTTTTTCAGAGCTGAATTTGAGCTGAATTTCATGCTGAATAGATGATTCTATCTGCTTTCATTTTCTCGCTCCAAAGTATAAAAAAAGTTTTTCGGATGAGTTCCAGTACAAGATCTTTAAAATTTGTTGAATGTGAGCAGACAGTCAGATTCAAAGTAACTGCTCAAAGAAACTGATTTCAAACGAAACAGTTGTGTTTAGCACTATGCTTCCTCACTACCAACGAAGTTATTGAAGATCCTACCCTGCTGCCGGAAAAGGTTGAAAGAAAAAAAGTCTCAACGGCAGGAGCCACCTGTATAGCTAACTCACCTACGCTGAAAGCTCTTCCAAAACTTACATAAATTTCTTCAAATTATTGCCCCTCAGCTGTTTCATTCTATGTCTGAGTTTTCTTGAGACAATTTGTTTTTGGAATCTTATTCTTTTCTTATCCCCTCTCCCCTAATGATTTGCCTCATCATCGCAATTTTAATGCAAACCTCAGAGCCATGAAATTTTAGAATAAATCGTAGATGTGTGTGTGTGACTTGTTTTTGTTTTTGGTGTTTTCATTTTTTCAACAATTTAGGAGAGCTGTAGAAAAAGGGACCATAAAACATGGGCAAATTCATTTTTCTGAACTGTCTAATCTAGACAAGCAGGTTGCAATGTGTTCAGATATGCTGCCACTTGTCTGGTTATAGCCGCTGCTTGGAGAAATGAGCATACCTGGACTATTATGAGCCCTTTCTTTGGAGTCCTCCTCAATTTTTATTTCATTAAATAAATAAACAAGAGAATGGAGTCCATTGGAAAAAATCCTTTTAACCCTTTGCTTTTTAAGTTTTTCTACTTTTTTGCTCCCAAATTAAACCGTAAACTCTTTCAGATTGTTTTGTTTTTCATTTTTGAATCCTCTGATACAAAATATTTCTTAAACTTTCATTGTTCATTGCTTTATTAAGTTCAATAGCCTAAAAATTACTTGAATAATTCGCATCAGATCTTGGACCTAATTCATTATTTCTGCTGTACCTACATCCAAATTGATGTGTGCTTGGTTGTGCGTGGGTTTGCAAGCTATGAACCACTAGACCAGATCTTAACTAGAAAAAAACGGCACATATTTTCTCTTCAAATTCCTACCTAAGAAAGGATTCACCCGCTAGGAACTTCAGAAATTAAATCCTGAACGAGATATTAATAAGTATTTTTAACATAGGTTAAATAGAAGTTATATGCTACAAATGATGTTATTTTTATTTTTGCCATTCAACCAATATTAGTTGTAATTGATTAGAAGTAAGTGAATAAGTTAAAATTGTGAAACAGGAGGACTACTAAGCTATTTGTAAGATTGTCATTTTAAAAAATTCCCAACTTCCCCTCACGTTTGATTTTACTGGACGCGTTTCAATGGGTCCTCTGTCCGTCTTCATCCATGATGAGGATATGATTAGGAAAATGAAAGGGAAAGTTAAGAGTCTGTTAATATAACAACCTTAAAAATTAATTGTAAACTGTTATATTTTGTTGAAGAGTTTATTCCCAGACTTCCCCATGCATGATTTATTTTTCTTGCGAAATTTTGAAGAGAAAACATGTTGCACAGTGCTTTAATTAATATCTTTTCTAGAGGTCTAAAATGATGAAATAATTTGCTTCAGTTTTTGCGAGGGTTTCTTTTTCAAATTGCATTTATAATAAAAAGCTTTGATTGTTAATCTTTAACTACTATTAGTTCTTGGGACCCATGAAACTGATATTCGTCTGTTTGGCTTTATGAGGCTATATACTGAAAATAAATTATGTAGTTAATTTTCTGCTCCATATGTCTCAAAAATATTGTATATTTGTAGATCAGATAGATTTTTTTTTTTTTTCGTATTCAAACTTTTAATTTTAAGTATCCGAAACCTTGCTCTTAACTATTCCTGTCCGGCACAAACTTTGTCACAACGTTACTTCCTAAATTATTGTTGCTGTACTGTTTTTGCAACATTTTTGTGAGTTTATTTTTGGCAGATGTCGGGTGGGTTACAATGTATGATTGAGTTTGCCGGCATTAGTCGTGAACTTTAAAAGACGGATGTTTCGAATTTAATTTTTTCTCACGTCGAGGAAGAGTTGGACTAAATTTCGCAACAAGGAACCACTATCTCTGGCTATTCCATAAAAGCTTGTATCTGCATAGGGAAATCAAAGAAATAGTGGTTCCTCCTTGCAAAATTTAATCCAGTTCTGAATAAAGACTGCTATCTGACAAAAGGCTATGATAATTTTTTTAGGCGATTCATGAAATCCTTGAAGTATGCATAGTGTCAATATTCCCTTTGTTATTTATTTGGCCCTTCTTATTCATTTAGGTATTTAGTTGACAGTCAATTAACAGATCATAAGATACCATGAAAAAAAGTGATAATTACTATGAAATTTTAATCATATTCTTTTTTATTCTTTTTCAGAACATCCAAATAGAGAATTTCTCTACTAGCTGGAGTAACGGACTTGCTTTTTGTGCACTCATCCATCATTTTCTACCTAACGCTTTTGATTACAATAAACTAACACCAGAGGAAAGACGTTACAATTTTGAACTTGCATTTAGAGTTGCTGAGTAAGTATGCAATTACTAGCATGTAAATCTTAACCTTGAATAAACTCTTATTTTAGATATTTTTGCGCACAAATCTTCAACAAATTTTTTTTTAGGAATTGATCGTCGTTTCAGAATTATTCCTTGACCACCATCAACCTTTATAATATTCGCAGCTAACTTTAGTCTAAATCACATTGTCAAAATCTGAATATGATCTGTTATTTTTCATCGTTTAGTGGATTTCAATCGTAGATTTAATGTCCACTCATGATTAAGAGCTTGATTCTCAAAGTGTCTTGCATTGCTCATGCGTCTATTTAGGATAATAATGAAAAAGAAAGAAATTCAAGTCAAAAGTGAAAATGTATGTATGTATGTATGAGCCGCTTTTACGGCGCGCTAGGGCGCTCTGCGACGCCTATTCTCCACAGGAATCTGTCATGGTAGAGATCCTCCGGAAGGTGGCATCTCTCCATCTCTTCATGGATGCCCTCTACCCACCGTTTGGCTGGACGCCCTCTCCGTCGCCTACCTGGGGGGACCCACTCCAACACCTCCACTCCACTCCAACACCAAAAGTGAAAATTATTTTCAATTTTGTATGGATGCGCCCTCTAGTGTCTAATCAAGTGTTGCTAGTTCTGAAGACAACCCAACTCTAAACTCAAATCATGCTTTTCAACCCTCTTGAGTGAACAAAGAAGCAATATGACTTTTTTTTTTCTTTCTTGGATTTCTTTTATCACATAGCTCAACTGACTCATTTATTGCAATCTGTGCTACTTGGATGCCTATTTTAAATTCTTGGCCAAATTTTGTATCTAATGTTGTGTTATGCTTTCAATCGCAGGGAAGAAGCAGGAATAGCTCCCTTGCTTGATGTGGAAGACATGGTGATAATGCGGCGACCAGATTGGAAGTGTGTCTTTACATATGTGCAGTCAATTTATCGCTGTTTCCACAAGTCTAATCGAGCTGTTCTAGTCTTCAATTTTTAGTTTATCTACCTTTGTAACTCTCTCCTATCGTTTTTCCTGCCTCCTGTATCTTTACTCACCCAATCCTTATCAACTAAGTACATTATTTAGTCTTAGATGTGATACTGCGGTGCTTCATCGCAATCATTTTTTGTTACCGTAACTCAAGCCCAAACTCGAATCTTTTTGAAGATATTCACATGCATCTTTAATTTAGACCTTTCTGGCTCTTTAAGTGCAAACTGTAAAAATCGAGGGTCACAAATGAAAGTGAATCAAGTAAGATCGATAAGAAAGTGATCCACAATAACAGTATTAAGTTGCATCATTCCTGTTAGACAGATTGGTGTCAAAAAAATTTCTGCCTTTATACACTGGATCCCTTCGAGTGGGAATTCATTCTCATGATTTTTTCTGTCGTGCCTTCTTGCCTGATTATTTCATTTCAAAATTGTTGCAAACTAATTATCTAGTCTACCTTGTTTTTTAAATGTTGTGATACTTAAATTGAACAATAAGACTATTCAAAAATTTTGTACATAACTGCCCTCCTGTAAATTAGTGGTGGATAAGTAAGAGCGAAAAATAATCTGTTTGTAAATTCATGAATTTTTAGCATTTTTCGAATGCCTTTTGTAAATCAGAAGTACCTGTAATGCATGTATGTCCATCCTAAACTCACTCTGTCTCTTTTTAGATAACAAAGGAGGGTTTTATTAAAAAAATGCCGGTTTTTAAACTGGTAAAGATTATTCCAGTGACTTTCCAATCCTGCAGGGAGGAATGAATAAAGTTAATTTTTCTTCACCGCACGAAAATGAAGCAAAGAAATTTAAATAGGAAAAATATATTTTTACTTTTTGTCTGTACTTATTAATCAGGCATTTATGTGAATCAAGTTTAACACTCTGTTGTTTTGAAATGGAAATGAAACATATCCCTTCTTGTTTTGCCCTTGAATTATCATTATTTTTAGTCTACAGCTAAGTGAAGATAAAGTCGTTTTGAAAATACCTTCACTTGGGTATTTTTAAGACCTAATCAGATTTATTGCAGTTACTGGTGGATGAGTGCCTTAACTCCTTTCTATTAAGTACCTACTAACAATTTCAAAGAATGCTTTTACTATGAGTTGGGTCCATGAGATATTTTTCATTCTGTGTTTCCTGCAAGTATAGTTCTGTTCTGCCCAGTTTCTCTTCGAATTGTTGAAGATCCATTTACTTTCTCTCTAGCATTTTACTTGCCAATCAATTTCATTAAATTTTGAATAAATTTACTGAAGAATATTTCTTTCTTTTCTTTTTTATGCATTGTAAAGCATAAATGGTTTTTAAACTTATTGACAAATTTCAAGTTTTTAGGTAATTTCAAATTTGTCTTCATGACCCCAACTCCATGTACTTCAGCATTACAATTTTTCTTTTTTTTACTCCTCGCCATAGCTTATACGTTCATACATTTAAGTAGTTTCACAAAAGAAGGAGCAGTAGGTACATTTCCTTGAATTTTTTTTTTTAACTGGAGCAAGAAAGAAAAAAAAAACTAATCAAAACCTTAACATTGTTAAATTCCTTTTATTTATAAATTGTAAATTTGTTAAACATTTTATACTTTTAATACTATTATTTATTATTTTTCTATTATTTATTTAGGCTGTCATAATTATTGTTATGAACTATGCTTGCTTACTATTTGTTGCATCAAATATTATAAGATAAAGCATTGATATTTACTACGTTTTAATACTTGAATAAAAAATGTTTTATCATGAACTATTGTCTTTTTGCAATGTGGAATCAACAGTGAAAGTCCACAACTACAACTTTTGTTTGCGGTGTTTAAAAATCATAGCCCCGAATTTATTTTTTAGAAGGAGAACATATTGACGTCTACCCTTGAAGTTTTCGTAGAATTTTCTACTCATAGAATAGAAAAGATCATAGCAGTTTTTAAGAATATTGTGCAGTTGTGTACCTAGTTCTCTATTTAAGAAATAAATATTGATAGGAAATCTGCAACGCTGCAAACCGAGATAAGTGACACCATCAAAATATGACTTTAAATGTTACAAGAAGTTGGACTGAAAAATCGGATTCAATAGGTCATTGCCAAGGGAACTCGATCGAAGAACTTTTGATTTTGACCCTAAAATTTTAATCTATATAACCCCTGTAAATTTTTCTCAATTTTGGGTAGGAAAAAAAATTTAGAGATTAGTGTTGTAACCTATATAGTCGGAGGCATTGAATTCATTTAGCCTGGTCCCCAGCATCGCTGAAGCTCCCTAAACTTGTTTTTTCCAGCGTTTTTGACTGTCTTGACTGTTTCCAAGGATCGACTCCCATATTGGCCAGTTGTGAGCATTTGTATACTCGTGGAACGTTTGAGACCTGAAATTCGGACTCAACAGGAAACTAGCAGCATTTTTGCCCGACTGGAGAATTTTCGATGTTAAACCCAAAATTTTAGTGCATGTACTTCGTCAATTTTTCTGGATTTTGAACAGGAAACTGAATGTAACTTATCATAAATTACTGCCTATAGCAATGAGAAATTCAACTTTATGAGCTAGAAGAAGTGTGGCCTTTATGATAAATGCAGCCTTGAGGAAGCTCAAAGTCGGTCAGTGATGTCGCCAGATCCCGTTCAGGTAACATGTAAAAAATCAATGCAGTGAGTAAAAAGAGGAAATCAGCTTTTTATTCTGTTACTTCTAACATCGAATGCGAGAGTCACATCCATATCTTTAGATTTTCACAACTGTCTATAGAAAATAATTCAATTTTTCTAATTTTCCAAGATAACAATATACAAACAATCTATAAAAGATATTTACAAAAATGTACAAAATTACTTCATTTACATCACTATACAAAATATTAGGTACCTACAGGTAATTTCCTCGAACAGGATCATCGAAACAAATGTTTTTTCTCTCTCTCTCTCAGTTGGTTCTTTTCATAAGATTCATCATCACTATCAACTTTTCAAAATAACTATGAGATGAATCTTGCTTTTTTACAGGAAAAACATAAGTTGTGCTCAGCAAATACACATGCATATTGATGAATTCATAGTTGTAAATCTTGGCGGTTGGTGTCTCACAGAAGTTGCCACCACAAGCTAATTTTTTTCAATAACAAAAGATCGAGTAGCAAATATTTTGGTTGGTTTAGCATTTATAAAGTAGTACCTAAATCATTAATTTTTGCATAGCAGAGGTTTTAAAATGAGACCTCCAACAGACACCTCGTTCTCAACCATTGAGAGAACCACTAATTCAAAAAAAATCCACTAAGTAAAAAGAAATGAAAGAGAGAGGATGTAGTTTTGAGTATTCCTGTGACAGCTTAAGTTACTAAACAAAGAGGACAAAAACAGACTAAAAATTGAGTCAAAAAGCATTCGATGGAATGTAGGAACTTCAAGAGTAATGAGAAAAGAGAACCAGCAACTAATAAATTCATACTTTTAATTTCTAAAATTTCGATTTATGATCTGCCCAACCGTTTGGAGGCACTGGTTTCCACTCTTTTTTTGTCAATTTTCCTTAGAAACAGTTTCGTCACTCTTTGATTGGATAATTGAAGTGAACAAAAAAATCGGGAGAATAAAGACAAAATAGACCTCCTGTAAAACCAAATGGGCAAGACATTTTTGGAACTTCGGTGTGAAGTTGAACTAGTTCTCCTTTCAGTGGCTTTCATACAACTTTAAAAAAAAAATGCATTGGACTTTAGCTGAAGTCTTATCAAAGAGGAAAATCCGATTCTGAAGAATTTGCAATCCACACTAAAAATTTATTCGCATTAAGTATTGCAGAACAACAAGAGGAGGCAAAATTTACACAGGAGGAGCAGAACTTCCAAAAATCTCAAAAAATGCCCCTAAACTTATCAAAAGTCACCAAAATCGCCCTTGTAAAAGATCAGTTAAAGAGGCAAAAGTCAGACAGCCTTAATTGCACTGCAACGTTGCAAACTTTCGTTCGACAGTTCATTCATTTACTTCAAAAACGGTTACATATTTGCTTGTAGATTTTGTTGTGAATTTCTTCGAACTCTCTATGTAAAAAAACTAATCCTGTTAATTCATAAAAATCAAATTGGTAAGTTGTCATGAAAGGCTTGAAACTCGAGTCCTTCGACTCTCACCCCTTCAATTTTAAAATGGGTGGGGGGGGGGGGGAGGGAGGACATCCCTCCCCGCATGACATCCCCCGCGGCAAGAAAAAACTTTCGTTAGAAGGACTGAAATTCACAAGAAACACTGAAGTTTTTCGGTCCTCAAACCGCAAGTTGCTTGGTTCAGAGAACCTGAGTATTTGGTTCAGACAACCGAAGCTTCCGGTAAAATTACGAGCATAAGAATATTGCCTTGCGAAAACTTCAGTTACCTGCCATGTAAACGTCAGTGTTTCTCATGATCCGACGGTTTCCTTCTACGCAAGAATGGAACCATTCCCATCCTTCCCGAGTAGCATTTCTCAACGGAAAAATCGGGATATATTGCAATGTTATCGGCGATAAAATTGCTAGGGTCATCAACGTTTGAGCGATTATCCTCGATCTTATCGGGATAAAATCGCGCTTTTATCGCCCGACAATCTATCGCGATAGAATCGCGCTTTTATCGCCCGACAATTTATCGCGATATTTTGGAACTAAAAATCGCGATAAATGACGATTTAATCTCGATTTCATCGACGAAAATTGATCGCAATTTTTTCGAACCATTAATTGCGATGTGTAGCGATTTAATCGCCATAGACCGCAATTTTTAATTCAATAATATTTCGATATATTGCCACCGACAATCGCAATAACCAACCGATGAAAGCGCCATTGATCGCGATCACTGCTACTGGGGCTAATGTCCCCTCCCTAGATGAATCACAAAAAAACCTTAAAATTATGTACAGCTAAAGGTTAGATAGGTAACAATTATACGCAGCTTTCAGGGCCGGGAATTGTGCTAGTTATCACTTGATTTTTCGCCCTGAGAGTTCCATTGCTCGAGGTCTTTTTCAAGGAGCCCATGGAATGAACACTACTTAATGCTATTGTCTGAGGTCTAGATGCGTGCGACGAATCTTGATAGGAGTTTGACGAAGACTCCCCTCGTTCGCTTACGATTGGGCTCATACTTGGAGAGATCTGTAACAAAAATTATTTTCACTTAAGTTTTTAACTACTCAACGGAGATTTCTCAGCCGAGAAACGAATGTTTTTAACCGTTATCGAGGATTCACTCCATTATTACCCACTGGAAAAAAACACATTGGATCTAGAGTCCAAACTCAAGACAAAACATAGACAAGAAAAAATACTCTTGATCCAATCGGATTTTTGCTTGAATAAAAACGTAATCCGCTTAAATTAAGAGGCCTGATTCTTGATTTAAGCTAGATTCTGATTGAATCAAGAGTACTTTTTCTTGTCGATGTTTTTATGAGTCTAGACTCTAGATCCAATGTGTTTTTTTTTCCCAGTGCCCAATTGTGAGCTCCGATGAACTCGTGGAGCATTTTAGACTAGAAAATCGGACTTAGTAAGTCATTTCCACTTATAGTGCTTCATTTCAGTCCGATCGGAGGACTTTCGATTTCGACCCCAAAATTTTAGTCCATGTCATTTTTCCCTATCGATTTTTCTCGATTTTGGACGGGAAGAAGTTTCGAGACAATGAGCTTATCCTACGTCCTTTGAGGGGTAGCATCGATGGCATCGGGTCACAAAATGCCCACCCCGATATTCATTTTCAACCAAATTATAGTGTCACTTTGATCGATCGTCTTAAATCCGATGGATCGTCAGGATCGGTGCCACCAGTACCAGTAGGGCGACAGACCAATCAATCAGTGCGGGCAAATCACAGAGCTTTTCTCTAGAATCACCATAAGTCCGTTGTTATTCACAGGGGGTAGATTGAATCCCGAGTATAACCACGGTAAGTGTCGACTATCCATTTGGTAAACCCCGAAGATGAAAATCAGGTTCACGAGAAAACACGGATTCACATGATCCATCCAATCCAACACAAAAATTCGTGTTTCAGATGATGAAACATACGCTAAAAAAGTTGAGCACTGAACCTACTCTGAAAAAGGCGTTGTCCTCTGCATTTAATTTTTTGCGCCACCCGAGTGCATTACTCAGATTGTCAGCGCGGGGTCTTTAAAATATTTTGTCTCTGATGAAAATATTATTTAAAGTTCCTCTTTTTATGCCCCAAGTAGTTATTCCAGCGCAAAAAAAAAAAAAATAGATCGTATCAAGAGGCCCCCACGGTGAGTTTAAAGAGGCAAGTACTCAGACTTCGATTTGTAACCTGGAGCATCAAAAATATTTCGAGCATAAAATATCGGGTCGAAAGTTATGAACTGTGATATTCAATAAAATATTCCCGCCAGGGGGTTATTCCATGGCTTCTAAATAGGATGAAATACTTACAAATGCGGTGGCCATCTTGGAATCACAGAGTGCGCTCTCTCGGTCGAGAATGTTGTCATCTGAAACTGAGCAGAAAATTCCTCATCTGAAAAATTCATTCATGGAAAAGCTCGCATTTTGAAACGAGAGCGAAGGGCTAATGAGTGAGGAGTGCCTTTAAAAATGCTTCGAATTTCGGAGCGCTTGCGTGGGAGGAGTATCTTAACTGCCTCGCGCGGAATCCCCGGAATTCATTTTCAATAACATCGGAAGAGTTTCGCGATTGAGGTTGTTCAGCCTCCAGTTCGCGTTTTTCATCCGGGGTTAAATGAAGAGGAATGCACAGGTTTACGCTGCCGTGTTTAGGAAAAACGTCGTATGAACATTCGAGAGTTGCCAAATTTCCTTCGATAAAATGCTTATTTTTGAGGAAAGCTAGAAATATTTTTCCTTGGAATTTTCAGGAACTTTAGGTAAAATTGCGGACAAAATTATCTGACAAATTGGGGGAAAAATATTTACAAATTTTCCCGAAAATTCGCGATTTGTCGACGGAAATTTGGCAACGCCTGAAGGTTCATACGGCGTTTTTCCTTAGCACGGCAGTACGGGTATCCGAGCTTTATTGTGCGTTTCACGGAAATCATTGCTTGAAAATCTCCGAATTTTATCCTTCAGAGACGCCTCGGTTCGGCCGTTCCTCTCTCCTGAATTCCTCGTTGAAAAATGGGGGGCTTTAATGTGGATTCTGTTGAAATTAATGGAACACTAGACAAGGTAAAAAGTTATTCATTTTAGTGCATGTGTCTCATTCAAAATTTCACGTAAAACACGATTTGCGCAACAGAAATTACTGAAATCAACTCCTAGTGTTTCTTGACGCGAGAATTCAAACCTCCCGCTGATGGAAACGCAATGATCTACGTGAGTCAAATTGCGCACTAAACGTTCGCCGTGTCTGCGATATAAAAATCTGACAACCTCAATCTTAACGCTTTAGCTCAGCTATAGCATCGATATTAATCTCAACGAGCCGTAAGTGCGTTGAAAGAAACAATACAAAAATGAAAAAAAGAGGGGAAAAAACCAAAAAGCACGCAATCTTTGGTTTTAACCCATTACAGTACATCGATCTTCAATAGTCAAATACGTCCAATTTTGAGCGTTTGGTTGCGCGGACACCACGCAAAAAATATCAAAAGCAAAAACAAAAAATATAGAGGAAAAAATTAAGGAGCTTTGGAAATCATTAAATATTTTCCTTCGATACATTTTTTCTTTCATCAATTTAAATGAGAATAATTCATGCAGAGTGTGCAATCATTTCTAAATTATGAGTTTAGAAACGCTGACCCCGCGAGTTTAAATATTAGAACCTAACACAGAGCGGAGCGGCGTACTGCCAGCGCGTTGACGCCTACAAACCTAACAGGGATACTTCACGCATTGCGCAATGCTTGAAGTATCCCTGTTAGGTTTGTACGCGACAACGCGCCGGCCGCGCTGGCGTGGGCACCGCGGCGCCTCACGCAACTATTTTCAACAGAGGTGTAGCACACTATCATACAAAATTGAAGGCGCGCCAACATATTAAGAATGACAGGCATCCTTTAAGATTACGGAGCGTTCCTTGCAAAATAAATCAAGATACTATGGCACAGGAAGAGAGCGGTAGTCAAAGAACTCACCAAGTCGTAGCATCCACTTTTGATAACGTTTGAATAAAATAATTTTTGAATTTCATTTGAAAAAAAGTGCAGAAACGTTCTTGAGTATGCCGTCAAGAAGATCTTTTTTAAAATCAAGAATAAAATAGATGAATTAGAGCGGGTTTCGGCTTTCTCTCTTTATAAGCATCTTTTCTTCTTTAAACAAGCATTATTTTCTTTATTGATTCATTGGGAAATCTTCTCGGCGGTAAATTTGAGCATTTACCTACCCCTATTGCACCAAAGAGGTATAGAGAGTTTTGGTAAATTTTCCCTCATGGAATTGACGCTCCCCCATTTTTACGAAAAATCTCAATTATACATTTTTCTCAGTTGAACCAAACAAATAATAAAAAACAAACGAACAAACAAACAAATAACAAGCAAACCTTCATTCCTCCAAGACTTCATACATTTTTATCCAAAAACGACGTGGGAAATTATAATTTGTATTTAAATGTGGACCAATTAACTTTGAGTCTCAATTGGTAAGTGGACCAAAACTCCCCTGCCGGAAAAACCCGTGGACGTAAACTACTTGAAAAACCAGGTGCGCGGACATAAAGTCGTTGACAAAATGTCCTATAACCAAAGCGTTAATTCTGAAAAAAATTATCAAAAAACCCTGCGTCAAACTTTAAAATTACATTTAATCTTAAAAAAGCATCGATAGAGAGATTTTGAGACTCTCCTTGAAAAATAGAATCATTGGTGCGAAAGTTTGCTCTGATTATTCCACCGCAAGTTTCGAAGTGAATCAATAGTTTCGAAGGATTTAGGAAACTTTTGGTAAAGTGTCGAGGAAGCAGTGAGCAACTTTCGCCAGAAGATGCCACACCGAATTAGGAATGGTTATGAGTGCGGAAGACGCGAGGTTAGCCCCAGTCTGACAGACTCGAAGCAGGTACAGAACTCGTAGCACGAGTCAGATGCGGGTGCAACTGAACTCGGAAGAAGAAGAAGAAGAAGAAGAAAAATGTGATGTAATGATGATGATGAAGATGAAGAAGATCAGAAAAGATTAAGAGAAAAATGGGAGAAGGGAGGAGAAGAAGAAAAACAGTGTAAAACTAAGAAAAGGAAGAAAAAAAGGAAGAACGAGACACATTTTCAGAAAAGAGGAGGGGAGTTCTCTCTCCTCAAAGATTATCTAGAAAAAGAAGAGAAGAAGAGAAGAAAAGGAAAATGAGAGGACGAAAAAGAAAAAAATAAAGACAATTTTCTGTCTCTTCGCCTTTTTCTCCTTTATCACCTTCTCCTCTCTTTTTTCCACCTTCTCCCTCCTCTCATTTCCCTTTCCCTCTTCTCATTCTTTTTCATTTTCGTCTACCCGGGTCTAAAAGATTCGAGTCGTCTAACAAGGGTTAAATAAAGACAATTTTCTCTCTCTTCATCTTTTTCTCCTTTATCTCCTTCTCCTCTCTTTTTTCAACCTTCTTCCTCCTCTCATTTCCCTTTCCCTCTTCGTATTCTTCTTCATCTTCGTCTACCCGGGTCTAAAAGATTCGAGTCGTCTGACAAGGGAAAATAGACGAAGAGAATCGAGCAGATATAGTCCATTCGGCTCGCGTGGCGCTTATTGCATGAGCAACTTTTGAAGGCGTTTTGTGAAACGGCAGGAATACGTACCTCGACTGAGAATATCCGGCTGTTTGGGCTCCGGCTTGAGCTGATAGGAGATGATATACCGCTGATCGTCTCGGTTGATCAGCTCTAGTTGCTTCGTTTCGTGGTGCAGCTGATGATTCAGTTGCTGACGGCGTTTCGAGACGATCACCATGACAACCAGGACGACGATGCAGAGCGTCGCAGCGGCCCCGATCAGGAACCCGGCCATCTGTCCCAACCCGAGCTTCGAGCTCCCGGACGGCAGCCATTCTGAAATTAACATATGAATTCAGTATCTTCCTTCAGCCGGACGCCATAATAATGGACAGTAGCATTTAAATTGAATCCACCCCAATAATCCCGGAAAAAACCATTGCGACCTCAGTATGACATAGAAATCAGAGAAAGGATTCTCAACTCTATCTCTCTCTTACTCATTGCATCAATGACTTTCATCATTTTTCAACATTTTTGTAATGGATTTTCACAAAAAATCCCCAAATTACTCAATATTAATACTATGATACGTTATGGTTCAGTCGGTTCTGTATATGTTATCACGATCGTTATTGGCTTTGGAAGACTCAGACTAGGGTTGCAAGTTTTACTGGCTCTCGAAATTGTCTGATTTTCCTCCAAATTTTCAGGAGTCTACACTCCTGAAAATTTGGAGGAAAATCCATTGGCGGAGATTTTCCGCCCCACGGGCGGAGCTAAAAGGATTTCTAGAGGAGGGCCAGAAAAACCTTGTTTAGGGAATGTAGAGGACACTAAAAAAACCCTGTTAAGAGCGATTTGCAAGAATTCCTCAACTCCCAAGGGAAGTTCGGAGAATTTCCCTGCGCTCAAAAGGGGATCCAAGGACCCTACCTCGGAAACTTTTGAAAAATTGGGACTCATGAGCAACTTTGAGCTGTACTTTATTTATCAATAAATTGATCGAATTAACATTTCAACACGGAGAAAAAAACCTCGTGCGTGGGACTCGAAATTTAGGTCATAAGGGTCTCTGAAGTTTTCGGATTGAGCATCTCAACACTTTAGGTCCAGCTGCTGAGGTTTGGATCACACATCTGAAACTTCAGTTAGTTACATCCGAAGTACTTCAGATGTGAGAACTGAAGTTTTTCGGATGTGAAAACCGAAGTACTTCAGATGTAAGAACCGAAGTTTCCGATGTGTGATCCAAACCTCAGCAGCTGGATCTAAAGTGTTCAGATGCTCAATCCGAAAACTTCAGAGGTCCATATAACCTAAACTTCGGGTCCCACGCACGAAGTTTTTTTTCTCCGTGAATAGTGAACAATATGTCAAACACTCATTTATCCCCTAAAATTTCTTGAGAATTCAGAGGAAGGGGGCAGCCCCCCCCCTACTCAATATCAGTCCCGCCCATGGGGGTCTAGGAAAATAAAGTTTGTTCTTCGGCCATCCATATGCTTCCAGTGACGTGGGTTAAACGAAGGAGAAGCTCACCTATCCGCCTCTCAGCGTCCCTGAGGACGATCTCCTCGAGGACGTAGGGCTCGCCGCGGCCCTTCTGGTTGGCGGGGTAGATGATGAGCTGGAGGATGTCCGGGATGTTGGTGAGGGAGGCCAGGTCCAGGTGGAAGAACGGCGACTCGGGGTTGCTCAGGTTCAGCCGCAGACGCATCGAGTCCGAGTCGACCGCCTCCAGGTGGAACGTCTGTGGGAGACCGCCGTCGTAGCCGGGGGCGCACTCCACCTCCAGCCAATCCCCGGACGCGTTCACCGTCGAGCGCAGCGTGCAGTTCCGCACCGCCGACGGCCGCACTGCAACGAGAAACCAATACAAAATCAATACACCGGGAAAAAAAAGAAAAAAGAAAAAAAAAAAAAAAAAAAAAAAAAAAAAAAAAAAAAAAAAAAAAAAACCACATTGGATCTAGAGTCCAGACTCTTGGAAACATTGACAAGAAAAAGGACTCTTGATTCAATCAGATTTAAGCTTAAATCAAAAGGAAATCCGCTCAAATTAAGAGGCTTGGTTCTTGATTTAAGCTTCAATCTGATTGAATCAAGAGTAATTTTTCTTGTCGATGTCATTAACAGTCTGGACTCTAGATCCAATGTGTTTTTTTTCCAGTGCATTAGATCTAGAGTCCAGACTCTTGAAAACATTGACAAGAAAAAGGACTCTTGATTCAATCAAATTTTTGTTTATATCAAAAGGAAATCCGCTCAAATTAAGAGGCTTGGTTCTTGATTTAAGCTTAAATCTGATTGAATCAAGAGTAATTTTTCTTGTCGATGTTATTAACAGTCTGGACTCTAGATCCAATGTGTTTTTTTTCCAGAGTAACACTTAGATGAACAACCTGGGTGCGACGGTTTACTAGATGCTCACGGTTGAATCGGAACTATCCAATTTTACGGTCTTAAAGTCCAAGTGATGATGATGTCTTACTATTTTTTGCATGAATCTTATGCAAGTGCACAAATAAGACGATTCCCAATTGAAATTATGTTCGTTTCCGATCAGTTTGTCTCACTGCCTTGAAAATACTTGAAAAACGAAGCAGGCAACTCTACTGCAAGCTGACTGTTGAAATGGACCACCAGACAAGGTACGAATTTCAACATTCTGATACATAATTCATAACCAACATTTTACGTAGAACACGATGCGCTCAACGAAAATCACCGTGATTAATACCTTACGAAGATATTTAATGATTCTTAATACGTGAGTTCAAACCATCCGCTCATGAAAACTCAATGCTCTACGTGATTCACATCGATCGCTAAACGTTATCATGACAGTCTCTGCGACATAAAAATCTGGCAACCTGAATCTTGACACTTTGGCTCAGCTATGGCAAATTGCTTATAGTTTGAACAACGCATGGTGGGAAATGAACATTGCGCGATTGAGAAGCTTGCTGAAACCGTTGTAGGGCGCGATTTGACTCACGTAGAGCTTTGAGTTTCTTGTGAGCAGGCAGTTCAAATTCCTCGTAACCAATGTGTAATAAAAACGTTAATATCTTCGTTAAAAGTTGGTTTCAGTAATTTTCGTTGTAAGAATCGTGTTTTACGTAAAATTTTGGTTAAGAAACATATAAAAAATTGCTTTAATTCGTGCCATGTCTGGTGATCCATTGAAATTATGTTCGTTTTCGATCAGTTTGTTTCACCGCCTTGAAAATACTTGAAAAACGAATCAGGCAACTATACTGCGGGCTGACTGTTGAAATTGATACCCAAAGCTGTAGACAAAGAAGACAAAAGGAATACGGAGGAGGATCTTTTTGGTGGAAGTGGGTGGTTGCAATAGACAACGGAGGTAGGTAATAGACTAACTAACAACAACTCACGAGAGCTCCTTTAGTTAGTTCATCAGAGAAAAACACTTCGTGCGTGGGACCAGAAGTTTAGGTCTTATGGATCTCTGAAGTTTTTGGATTGAGCATTCGAACACTTAAGGTCCAGCTGCTGAGGTTTGGATCACACATCTGAAACTTCAGTTCTTACGTCTGAAGCACTTCGGTTTTCACATCCGAAGAACTTAGGTTCTCACGTCCGAAAAACTTCGGTTCTCACATCTGAAGTACCTCAGATGTAAGAACTGAAGTTTCAGATGTGTGATCCGAACCTCGACAGCTAGACCTTAAATGTTCAGATGCTCAATCTGAAAACTTCAGAGATCCATATGACCTAAACTTCGGGTCCCACGCACGAGTTTTTTTTCTCCGTGTGGACCCAGTCGCTGAAGTAAAAATTGTATCTTATACTAACATTTTTCGAATCATCTGAAGTTTCTTGATTCTATTGTCAGTGAATCAATCATTCAACCTTTATTTTCCTTTTTTGTATCAACATTTCGTACTTTACACTCTGCTGGGACCAACCTTGAAAAGAGAATCTTTACATTTTATCAAGAACTTGACAGTCACCGAGTATTTAAAGTAATCGAACAAGAGTTCACCTACAAACGCAAGAAAACTCATGAACAGGCCAACGACAAGACCAACGAACCCCGATTGTAAATCATTCAAATCGAACGGACGTGGCTCCGAGCTCTCCTCAGCGTAGGACACGCCCAACTCCATGTTTTCTTGAGCCTCCTCTAAAATCCCTCTAGCAAGTCCAGCTTCAATGTATTGAGCCATCTTTTGGTTCACCATATCAAAGAAGAAAGAATTTTTCGCAAATGTAAATATCATCGGATACGTCATGAGACATTCACGCATTAAATGATACTCATATCCCCGATGATCGTTCATGTAATCTTTCAAGCGAAGATTTTTTTTGGGCGTTGATGAAAAAGGCACACTCAAGACAACGGCATCGGTCTCTGTAATCGAACGCACATTATCTTGAAACTTTTCAAACGCATTCTCAAGATGCGAATGATTGTTGAAAAAGTCATGAAAAGGATCAGTCAAATTGGGGGGACCTACGAAGTAAAAATGGCTGGAAAGTAGCTCTGAAAACAAATATTCGGTGTAATAATACAGGTTGTCTACCAATTTTGCCCGTAATGCCTCAGACTGGTTCAATTGATCAAACAGACTCGTCTCAATATTTCGGTACTCAAAAGTTTGGATGAGCATATCAGACTCTTCTAAAATTTTTAAAGTGTCTATTTCTGGATACAAAACTCTATCACTTAGTAATGTTGTCATGCCGCTCAAAAAAACGGTAGAAATTATAATTGTAGAGAAGCTAAAAATTAAGAACAGGACTTTTCCTGTGAACAAACGACCGAGATGTAAAGATGGTGGGCTCCCACAAATGAAGTAAGCGTACACAGTCAACAGGGAGGATGTGTCTCTATAATAATCCACTTCTGCTTCTGTGGAGAGTCGAGGAAACAATGCGTACTGCGAGTACTGGAAAAAATATTGCATTACGGCAAGTGATGCAATAGTAACCGAAAAGAAAATCCAAACAACTGGTGAAAAACTCTTGAAAATCACCAGACCTTGCGACATGTAGCCGCTATGCGGGGTGATGATGCACAAAGCGCTTGTATCAATGCTAACGGAAATATCGAGTTTGGAATGATCAGTTCCCTCCAAAACGATTCCTTTTGCATATAAGACCAAACTGGCGTCGTATCTCAGAGCATACTCACTTTCCCCTGCCTTTTTTGCACTTCCATCAGCAAATTTCAGAGTGCAATTCACAGAGTGTTCTAAGTGCTCGAGTACAGTTGTATAAAAGCTATGCCAATTATTACTCCAATCATCTTGATTCGCTGAATGTAATTCTCCTAGTTTGGAGTAGTCATCCCACAATAAAACGGGTTTTTTATGCATGTTTGTCCAAGAGAAATCGAGAAAATCCTGAATCATCCCGCCCCCGTTCTGATACAGAATGAGGCTTTCTGAGAAAGGGTCGTATCTCTCGCAGCTATCTAGGTGGCAGATAACAGTTTTTTGGCCTTTAAAGAAGCGCCAAAAAAATTTGAAGCAAAATGCAAGAGTACGATTTTTGTCCGTTTCAAAATTCTGAATATTTGAATTACTGAGTACTTTCGTCGTGTATGCTCTGATATTTTGGCCGAAATTTTTCAAAAGGAAAATTAGGTGGTTCCCGAAATTCCAAATTTCGTTGCTGTAGAATCCGCGAGTTGCGTTGAAAACTGAATCACTCAGAATTGAAAGATCTTTTAGTTCGGTGGATGTTATACTAATTTCATTACTACACCCTTCTTGTGACCAGAAATGATGAAGTTCGCCAATTTTAATGCAATAACGAGGTAAAGTTCCATCCATTTGATGTTCATTTGATGCAGTGCTCTTTGTGCTTTGTTCCAGACCTTTTCCCTTTCCAGACTTCAGATCTACAGATTTTAGATGTGATATTGTGTAAAAAATAAAGTTGAACAGCTCATCAATGTCATTAAAATTGAAAATGATATTTTTCTTCTGATTATTGAGCATTGAATCAGTCAATTTTCCGTGGTGGGTTATGGAAATGGTCTGTATCGAAGTTTCATGCAAGTCTCGAATAAAATGCTGAAATGATGGATCTGAATCCAAATCTACCGTGTAAAATAGCTTTAGATCGGTTCTATTAGCTATGTTTTTACATACATTAAATGCCAATGAATGTAGCGACTCCCGCCTGTCTTCCATTGGCTGTTGAAAGCCGAAACATCTCGAAAAACAAGGAATCGTCAGAGAAATTATTAGTAGTATCAAATTGAAAAACCCGTGTATCCTCGAATGTAACGTCACCATTATTACACTTCAAAAAGAGAAAATACAAGAGAATGACTTTCGAAATATGATCCACTTTTTTACAGAGAACGCGAGTCCTACACAACACGAATCCCACCAGATTTTAATTCTAAAAGCGTATGTTTTCGGGATATTTTATTTTAGATCTTATTGCACGTCTGAACAAGTCATTGGATAACGGTCCGAATCACCTCAGGAAAAGGTGACCTTCAGTTGTCCTATCATGACCCTTGACTATCGATTCTGTCATCGTAAATCAGGAAAACCGCAATACTTGCATTCATCTTAACCTAGTCCATCAAACTTGAGCCTTTTAGAGTCGGGCTTCCGTTTTTCAAACTAGGAGACGGCTGAAGAGGAATAAGCATGGAAAAATAAAGGAAAAAAATCCCAGAAAAATCTGATACTCGCATTTTCGAAACGGGGATCAACTCATGGGATAACTCAGATCGTACGATTGCAAGCGCTCGTTTATTATTTGGACCATATTTGGCCTGCATTTTGCAATTTGGACCTATAAATTCTGGCTTATCTGAAAAAAGACTTTTGTGCATAGGAAAACTGAAAGCACATACGTTGTTTTTAAACCAGGCTAGAATTTATAGTTCCAAATTGCAAAATGCAGTCCATTTTGCATTATGGAACTGCTCGCTCTGGCTCATTTTAGAGGAAACGTATCGACGGTCAATCTTGCAGACCACTCATCACGGTTTGCGACGTTGCAGACTTTCTGTCATACTTTGTTTTTTAAATGGAAAACCACACAACGTCAACTCTTTTCCTCTGTGCGTGAAGAAAACCGAGTGAGAACTATAAGGTATGACTAGTTGCTCCTGCTCGCTCCGCTCAGTGGCGTGGCGTGCTTTGCGATATATCGATTGCTTTGCCATTTAAACCCATGAGAAAGTATCGATAGATAGGGTGTTCGCAGCAAACACCTTAATAATCGATTATTTACCTTAGCTTCAAATGGCGAGATATCGACAATCGATCATTCACGCAACGCCATTGGCTTCGCTCGCCTCCATGACTGGTCAGGGGGCGGAGCCCTCTGCACCTCCAAACGCTCATTTCGCAACCTCACCCAAAAATGGTGTTGAACATTCTTTCGAAAAGTCGGGGATGATGGTTGGGT